AAGGACTCAACGTTTGTGAACGACGGAGCTCCTTGGCATCGCTCAAACCTCGTCAAAACATATCTCGAAGAAAATAAAGTGGAAGTGCTCGAGCACCGGCTCAGAGCCCAGACCTCGATCCTATTGAAAATCTCTGAGCCCATGTGAAGCAAGAGTTGCATAAGTCCGCAACATCTAGTATCGAGGACTTGAAGCTGAAAATCCAAGCTATTTGGTGCGGTGTTGAGGCAGAGAGGGTTCAAAAGCTATACCTATCGATGGCAAAACATCTGCAGCAAGTCAAAGACACTAAGGGGGGGGGGGGGCACACAGGGTACTAGAAGGTCTGTGGCTTCTCTCGTGGAGGCAAGTAAGTGTCGGGAGGACGGACATTTGATAGAACAGGCCGGAGAAAGCGCATATTGAAGAGAACGCGACTTTTCAGATTTTGGACTTTGACTTTTTTGTAGCTTAAAACATGGATACATTTTTTATATGCATGTAACTGCACAACCTGGACTGCGTTTAAAACCGGTATGCATTCGACGGAAAGGTGTTGCAGAGTAGTTTCCAATAAGGTGACAAGCTTGCAAAGCCATAATAATGAAGTTCCTTTCTTTGCCGGTACATTTCACTGGAGATCTTGGACGTAGCTTTTTGTAGCCACTGTACTTCTGCCAGCATGACCAAATCGATTCTTGACAGAGATGGGGCTTTGTTTCATCTACCGGGTAAATTCGCTTGCACAAAGCAACTTTGTGCATCTCGCAATAATCGTTTTTTTGTGTCGGCGCCCTTCCTTCAAAGCGACACACGGTACATTCACGCTTCGCTCGACTCCGTCCTTTGCGTACCATGATTCTCTTGCCACGCACTCAGTAGCAACACAGCTGGTTACCTCAGCACAACTGGTAATGCTCGCACTAGCTGAGGTAGTATTGGGCGTAGCGATGGTATCCGCATACAGCATTCCGTCACTATTTATCAGCCCCTCCTTCCATGAGCCATTAAACATTTCTCGTACCAGAGCGGCTACAAAGGATAGGTGGTTGTCGCGACCACGCCCGAATCCAGCCCAATCAGCTTCAATCAAGTCCTTCTCTCCTGTGAGGTCGGGGTTGGACGCCAACTGATGACAAACGTACGCATTGCAGCGTGCGATATCAATCATTACTAGTGCCATCTTTTTATACCACTTTTTAAAAGAATGTCCATCAGCTAAGGAGAACCGTCCCCATAGTTGATCGTGGCGGTCAACTCCCTGCATTGCCGAGTTGTATTCACTGACACACTTTGGGGTTGTGAACGGTACTCGATTTTGTTTGATACGGCGAAAGCTGTAGCTGTGCCTGAGTCGTCTGCGTTGGGTACGACATTGATAATGGAGCCGTCCACCCAGCTAGCAGCTACGATGTGCTTTTCTATACAGACGCCTTGTTTCATTGCTTCTCGACTTAGTGAATCTCCCAACTGAATCATTGTATAGCGGGGAAAGTGCTTACTCGATGAACGGACAGTTCCACGCCCTTATAAACCGACTGTCCGTAAACTTTCAAGAAGCTGACACGAAGTAAAAAATATTGTCCGTATTCACGACACGCCTCGAGCCTTTCAGTAAATTTGTGACTTCAAGAACGTGTTTTCGGATCACTGATGACTGTTTGGTAAGCAGTGCAAGCTGGCGTATCTCAGAGTCTGGCACCACATTGCCAAGACGATCTTCTAGCTCGCTTGAGCAATGCAGTTTGAAGTTGAGAACTAACCAAGTTTAGTCGAGCAGCAGCATATATACAGCTTGAAGTGGTATTTTCCTGTTGGTTTGCGAGGATTGTAGACTATGATATGTCTAGCATACTTTGAGCGACACGCAATACTAGCCTCATCAACAGTCACATTTCTGCCAGGAATTACATGGCGGGCGCAGCGCTTCTTCAACATTGTTATAAGCGGCCATATTTTGGCGGCAGGGTCTCGTTGCAGCTCGTTCGAACTAACTTTGGAACGGAAGGACAAGTGACTTCGAATGTACAGATCCGACGCCAGCTCATTATCGAGGCCAAACTCGTCGACCCCATGTCAGGGAAAATGCTGGCCACTTAGTCATCAAGCCATTAGTTCCATATCTCGCCTTTGTCGACGAGCGCCATGTACCACAAGATTCCAAGAAATTTCATGAGTTCATCTAGTTCGATGGGTCTACTCGATGCATCGTCACTTTCCAATGAGTGCGCGTTCGAAAAAACTACAACTTGTTTCCACAAAGACAGTGGTAGAAAAGCAAAAAAGCTTGAAGTCGCTAATCTACCGAAGAGCTTTGAGCTTTCACCTCGTATTTTAATTGTTGTACTTCCATCCCCATGAGCGAATAGACCAGGAATTATTGAGGATTACCGGTTCCTGAACCTGTCCAATACGATCCCGCGATAATTATGGTACGTTGATTACACCACCAGTGATTAGACGAGTAGGATGATTGGACGAGTGCAGAGTGTTGGTGATTGGATGACCCCAATGATGGGTTGCAGACTAGGTAGTGAGAGTAGTGTAAGCTCCGATAAATGTTAAAAGGCTCCGCATGTTGTGCATGGTCGTGCCGTTGAGCACTCCAATTTACATACAGCGCAGAGAGGGCTGACAGAGCTTCTAGCAACGTGGTGGGTTTCGCCTTCATGTGTCTGACGCCAGCCTGTGCGTATCGTGCTGCATCGTTGCTGTCTAGATCCAGCCTGCACATCATTGTTGGCACTTCTTCTAGCATGTCCTTCATCCAAATCTGCGTGTCCATCATTTACATCAACTTGCAGTGCACGAGATCGATCAATCTCAAAAACACCAACAAACTCACTCGGTTCGCCACTCTTCCTTGGGCGAGAATAGTTTGTCTCCATTCCATTTGCTCTCTCCATCTCTACAACATACGTATTATTGTAATAATCGGTGAGAGCCTTCTCGTCTAATAAATAGTCTTCGCCTTCTACACCGTTAGAAACTCCGCTGGGGCGGATGTATCGGTAACGCACGTCTAAACTTCTTCCGGGGGAGGGTTTGGACGTCCACCCAAGCTGTAACGGGGTACATACCCAAGTGTACCCAAGTTACATGAAGAGTGACCAAGTCACTCTTGTAATACCTGGTACATGGTACCAGGGGCTCTAGGAGCCAATCATTGCATATCTACATAGCTTCATTATAGGTGACTTATAGTTTGTATTAGAAACTTAGCTAAGTCTACCTTTAAATAAAAATCAGTCTTAATCGTACCCTCAACAGCATGCTACTACACTCAAATACCATTACGACGTAAAGTTCTTCTTCTCCACGTTTTGCAAAAGCCGGAGTTGTGGCTAGCACCTGTTA